TAGCAATTAGCTCTAACCCCAACTGGGCCACACCTGGCTTAGCATCTAGCCATAACCCATCCTTTGTTGAGCAGATACCTTTTGTCCTCCTGTGTGAGCCATGTCTGAGAGTTCCACAAGGATACAAAAGCCTATGCAAAACTTGGTTAAGGAAATCCGGAAAAATGTGGTACCTGATGAATCGAAAATTTGCACATGGAATTGTATTTTTTGGAAGCCTCGTTCAAGTTGTTCAGAGCATATAGTAATCAACTGGCTAAAGTGTAAATGTTGAGAAAAATAAAAATGCCCTGGGCATAGGGAAAGCAGTTCAGTTCACTGAGTCTGGGGACCCTTGCAGTGGCTAAGTTCATTCTTAAAGTATCTCTGAGTCTTCTTACAATGGACCTGAGTAAACCCCCATCCATGCTGTGTCATCTGCAACACTCATCAAACCATCACAGCCACGTAACTGGAGAATTCAACGGTCACTACAATATAGCTAATTTGAAAACCCCATCTTACATAGCTACCTAATTTATTTTTGGAACTACCATCATACAAACAGTGTGGGGGTTCCACAGTGTGGGGGTTCCACAAAAAAAGTAAAATAGAGATAAATGATCAGGTGTATTTCTAGGAATCTCTAGAGAAACTGAGATCTGTACTCTCATGCCCACTGTGACATTATTCACAATAAACAAAGGTGGAATCAAGCTAAATAGCCAGGTGAATGGATAAAGAAAACGTGTTGAATATTACTGTGGAATGTTATACTGTCCTAAAAAGATGGGTATGATGTTATTTGTGACAAGTAGGATGAAGCTGTTGAGCATTATATTGCATAAAATGAATAAAACACCAGAGGGAAGATATTGGAAGATCTCAACACATGGAATCCAAAAGAGTTGGACTCCCAGAAACATAATTGGATGATAATAGCCAGGGGCCTTAGAGTGGGCATTTAGGGAGATATCTTTCAAAGAGTATAAAGTTTCAGTTATGCATAATGAAGAAATTCGAGGATCTATCTGTCATATGGCAATGAGTCTACAGCTAACAACACAATACCCTACACTTGAAATGTACAAAGGTAGGTCTCAGGTGTTTTGATCATCAATAGTCAAAGGAACCAAGATAAACTTTTTGGAGCATAACATTTCAAGCCCTCTTGAGAAGGTGTCAGCACATACCTCTTGGGAGACAGCTGAGAGGAATGATCTACCTGTATTCCAGTAAAGCAGGTGACGGTATGTCTTGGCTTGGGGAGCAACAGAAACCTGTCAGATAAATCCACCTAAGCATAGATGTCTGCATGGGGAGAAAGTTTTATATTTTGATGGTTAGTGAGAGGTAGCTTTAAGGGAGATGATGCGGTTTTAAATAATTGAAAAAGCACATTTGGCTTACACAGTTGGGGAAAGGGTGAGTGCATAAATGAGTTATAATCACAGTAAACACTTCTTAAAGAGTATCGTGTGTGTGTGTGTGTGTGTGTGTGTGTGTGTGTGTGTGTGTGTGTGTAGGGGTGTATGTGTGTGAAGGCTAGAGTGTTTTCTTTCATAGTCTTCTACTTTACTTACACTGAGGGAATCTCTTTCTGAAGTTGAATGCTTTAGCTAGTTTAGCTAGCTAACTTGCCCTGGGAATCCCCTGCTCCGCCTCTAGAGGGCTAGGATATTAGGTGGCCTCTGTAGCCACCTTGATCTTATGGGGGTACTGGGAATCGGAACTCTAGTCCTCATGATTGTGTGGCAAGGACTGTATATACTGAGCCATTTTCAAACCTTTTATTATTCATATACATATATGCACACTCATACATACATACATGGGTATATACACATCTTCTTCAAATATTTGTTGCTAGGCACGGTTCATTTTGCTGGACATAAAAATTCCAGCACAGTACTCAAGTCTATTTCAGATTCACTCAAGCAATACCAAGCTGTTGCATAACTTAATAACTGTGTTAAAACCATGCACAAATCATTAATTTCCTCCTGCTGGAGGCTGAACCTCTCCTCCAGTCCTAGCCTGCCCACATCAACAGCCTGGAAGTCAGTAAACACTGCATGTCATTGGATGGCTGGACTTCTCTGGAATGAGGAAGGAGGTGCCTATCATGTTTGAGCAATTTTGATTCATCCATGGACAGGTCCTCTAGTATCTCTGATATTTTATTCTCCTTCCTTTTCCATGGAACCAGCCACTGCAGAGTTGAAACTCACCATGTAGTCCACCAAAAGTCCCATTTTCAACATGCCCAATGCATGTCTAACTTCAGCGTTAGTAAAGTGACAGTGAGCTTCCTTATCTCTGCATGACCCCTTGATGCCTTGACTAGGTTTATGGGTTTGGAGGAGCATCAGACCCCTATGCCTATCCTGAAACCCAAACTCAATAGGCTCAGTTCTCTGTTTCAGAACTGTGCTGAGAAACCATGGCTCTTCTTGAGCCTTTCAAAACCTCCTTGAAGGCTGTCAGGACTTCCCCGAGCCTTCTCTTTTCAAGTGTGTCTCATTGTGATAGGATTAAACAACCCTTGTCGTCTTGACAGCTTTCCTGTGAACCATTGCTTTCTAAAACAGGCTTTAAGAGTGCAGCCCAACAGGTGTGCAGAACGACACACCATCAAGTAGGCACACTCACCTCTCTCTTCTTATATATTACACATCTATTAACTTAAGCCAGGTCAAAGAAGCTCGGAGACTATGATGTTGCACAATGGATATGAACTTCTTTTGCCCCAAATTCTACAAGCTATATTTTTCACACTATTTGCTGAGTCATGCTGCATGTCACTCCTTGTTTATTCCTGCTGTCTTTCATCTTGTTAAAGTATGACCTTTATCCCCATCTACCAAGATTGAATGTGTTTCTACCCTCCCAACTATTCTTCTACTTGCAGACAGAGTAAGCACGCCTTTTATGTTCTTGTGCTCTGTTGACAAGGACAAATGCGAAATAGAAATTAGGACAGGACAGAGGCCTCCAGACTGGCATGGGTCTGTTTACTTAGCACCCTTGAGAAAAGCTGTTTATCCACTTACAAATCCTCTTAAAGACACTACCATCTAGTACTCATGTCTCTTTTTTTGATACTCATGTTCAATATCTTGTTGAAAGACAGATACAGAGTATGGATGGACATTTCTCTACTGATGGACAAAGACACCAAGGCCGATGTGTTCCCAGCAGTAATATTTCCAAGGGGATTCAGGCTATCCATCATTCAAAAATATATATTCAATGTTGGCTGTGTTTCAGACTCAGAGCTATCCAGACCACACTCACCCATCAGGACCAACATCATTAGTTTCCCGATTTTAAATAGTGGGGGGTGGCTCAACCAGTAAAGCAACTACTGCACACAAGTATGAAGACCTGAGTTAGAATACCCAGCACCCATATAAAAACAAAACCAAACACAAACAGACAAAACACCCTAGCACCCTAGGGAACTGGAGACAGGTGGACTCCTGGAGCTCATTCTCCAGGTTCAGCTAAAGATCCTGTCTCAAAATACAAAGTAGAGAATGACAGTGGGAAATACCCAGTTCTGACCTCAGGCCTTCAGATGGACATGTATACATGTATACACATACACACATGTGCATGTACAAATACATAATAAATTGGGCTATCAAAATGGGTTAGTTGGTAAAGTTGCTCACTGCCAAGTCCAAATTATCTGAGATCAATCCTTGGTTTCCATGTGGTAGAAGTTGAGAACCCACTCCTGAAAGTTCTCTTCTGAATTGTACAAGTGTGCGATGTCAGCACGCGCACACACACACACACACACACACACACACACACACACACACGAAATAAAACCTTTAGGAAGCAATACATGGTAGACACCACCCCATTCTCTTTTCTCTCTTTCAGCTTTAGCTCTGAGACAAACACATTGTAGCTCCTCAAGAACTATGTATTTGATGAATTTAACCATCTCCATAGTTATTGTGTGTCTCCTGCACTGTATGCATTGAATGGATTGAGTATTCAGAGCTCACAGCACACTCCTCCAGTTTTATAGGTGAAACCGAAGTCAAGTTGGCCAGAAGGTGTGCTCATGCTCACCCATTAAACGGATGGTGGGGATGCGGATATAAGTCTGGTCATCTCTAATAGGCCACATGGGTTTAGCTGGTTCACTACAGCTGAAGGGACTCATGAAGTGCAAGTCTCATTTCATAACCTAAAAGCACATAAGCTTCATAAAAGTTTTATAAAAGAATTGTTTTCACAATTCTCAATTTCACAATTCACAAACTAACCGACTCCAGGTTAAAAAAATTAGGCACATTTTCATTTGAAATTATTAGATATTCTTATAAAAGCAAAGTACGAAATCATGATGTTTTTAATGCTTCCACTATGAAACAGTAATAGGTATTTTGCGGAAATAAAACCATTTTCTACATAGACTGTTTCCCAGAAATTCTTCAGTTAAGACTCACTGAGCATTGGCAGCTCCTACATTTGTAGGACTGGCAGCCTCATCATTCTCTGGTATTATCTGCAGGAGTAACTTTCCAGTTCTACTGAGTTCTGCTTTTTTTTTTCTTTTACATCTTAAAGGACTTTTTAAATCTGAACACAAACATCTATCTTTTTGCATGTAATGATCAAAATAAGCCCTCATAGAATATGTATTAATTACTCACAAAAGTCATTTCCATCTCCTCAGAAACCATGGGAACGGATAAGGCCTTGGGGGGGGGGTCTACATTATCCACATGGGTGTTCAGTGTTAGTATATTCCTACTTTATCTGTTTTTTCATGACATATTTCTGTAATGTACAGTAATTACTGAGTTGGTGCTCTGTGAATCAATGAATCAATCCATGGTTTAAGCTATAATTAGGTAGGTGAGCCCATAGGTGATTAGTCAGATTTCAAAGGATGAGTTTCCACCGCACCCTGTGTATCCATCTGCTCCAAATATTTCCAATGCTGGTACTCCATAAGCGAGCTGGCAAGGTACAGATCAAATATTTCATAGTCTCACCTTTTGGAATGATCGTCTTGTTATTCTTATCCAGGGCCTTGCTTTCCTAAACCAGGGGAAGCGCCTTGGAGCTAATGTGTTCCTCAGTGTATCTAAAATTAAGTATCCAGTCGGTGTTTAAATTAAGATCTGACCTTGTGCAGCAAAAACACAAGTGTTCCCTGGCACACGGGAAAGAATTACACATGACTTCTGCTGACTCTCATCAAAAGAAACACAAGCCTGGAAGAATAATAAGACTAACTGTGTTCTCATTGGTTCAGTGAGTTTACAGAAAACTGGAGCTGCCAACTCAGCTGCAGGGAGGCTTCTTGATGACAGAACCAGACCTTCCACCCACACAAGCAAAAGCATACTGTAGGAGGTAAATTGTGTGTCCGCGGATCACTGTCTCACTGTTTGCTTCTCTTTTTATTCTTCAACTGTTAGAACCAAATCAAATGACAGTGGACAAGATCCTCTCACACCAATTTACTGTCTTCACCGTGACTTGCTCTTAGGAACTGCCACTATGAACCACAAACACAGACAGAGCTCTCAGCTGTATCTATTCTGACCCCAAATGCACAGGGCAACAAAGTGAGTATATGGAATAGTAAAACAAATAAATACATTGTAACAGATGTAAAGCAAGCAAAAAAAAAAAAAAAAAAAAAAAAAAAAAAAAAAAGAAAAGAAAAAAGAAAAAAAAAGGGGGGGGGTTAGTTTAAGGGGCCATCTCCTTAAAGAACCACAATGTTAGAAGAAAAATAGAAAAATATTACAACCAGTAAAATCTGCCACCTTACCAGTTTCCTGATGGGAACAACCTGCCTTGAGTTTATTTTGACAGTGCTATCTTTGTGTTACCCAGGCCACTGTCAACATCCACAAAGCCATCTGGCTTCTGTCTGTCCCTCTCCCTTCCCCCACTGACACAACCCTGCCCAAGGATCTTGGGCCTTCTGGCTTCTGGGGCCAAGTGGCACTCCTCATTCTGCATCTCACAGCTCCAAGTTGGATTCACTGGCATTGCTCTTCCTGCTTCTTTTACTGTAGGGTTCTGGAAGCCTCTGCATGCTAGACCCCATTGTTTTTCTTTTCATCTCTTTGTCTTTGGGGTCAGTGAGTAAATATGGATTTTGTAGCCAATCTGCCTTTGTTCCTACACTCCAGAAAAACACAGGTATGAAAGGAGAGGTCCTCCTGCCTCCTAGTTAGCTGTGATAAACAAGCCATGCTTCTGTCATCCTTGGGGCAAAACTTTGAAAAACAACTCACATTCATATAACTGTTAACTGAACACTGAAAGAATAAAAGGATGGGGAATAAAGAGGCAGGCATATATTCTAAATTATTAACCTGATGGGACTTTTCCATAAAAATTGTTATAAAAGGCACAAGAGATGCTCAATACTTCAATTTTCATACAACTCGGCTTTAATGCCCATATTAAAACTCCAAATAAATCTTCAGAGTTTAGTGGAATTTATGGAAAAATGACAAATCAACACTTTCAAAACTTGATTCAGTGTACTGTAGTGATGTGTTTGCTCTTAAATAATTTTGTGCTGTCACATGTACAGAATAGTTACTGTAGATTCCTATTCCAAATCATATTTAGTGTTTTAAGTGGCTCACATAAAGGACAAAAATGAGACTTTCTGGTTAGGTGAATGACACAAGCTACTGAAAATTAGACTTACAAATAAATATTGTTTTCTCTCATGGTTTCTGACACCTGGGATTTCCTTTAATGTTTTGAGGCTTGTGTAGTGGCAGATGCCCGGGGAGGCAAAGGCAGAGGGATCATTTGCTCAAGGCCAGCTGGGGTTACAGACTAAGACCCTTTCCCAAGGAACAAAAAATAGTGATACTTAATATATTCATCTGTATTATGGAAACTGTAAAAATAATGTGACCACATCCACATCACTCACTGGTCACCACCTTTATTAGGCCTATCCCTTAAGTAGTGAACCATCCTTACACATAAGTAGTAACACCCTTTGAGTTAAGAGTGATCTTCTTATGGTATTAATAATTACCTTCACATTTGGCTTGTTCTAAAGTGTCATTTTTTTTCTGAGCATTTTCTCAAAGTAGAAACGGAATAAGTCTCAGATTTCAAACAATGTACCTGTGAAATTGTGAAATAGTAATTTTTTTTTTTTAACACGCCTTTACTTTGCTAGTAGAGGGTGTGTTTTGGGAGAGGTATGACTGGACAGCAAAGGATTTTGAGTAGCACCATTCTGATGAAGGTGCAATGAGAATGACAACCAGAGACACCTCCCTTCTCTCTATATTTAGGGACACATGCATGTCCTGGTTCAGGATGATAATTTTAGCAAAGGACATGGAGAATCTCAGGTTAGAACGGCTGAGACGGACTGTTAGAGGCTGCCCTTGGACTCAGCCATTTCTATTTAGGGAATAAGGGGGTTTGAGTGGTATTGAATGGGAATTCCAAAGGGGTGGTGGGGCATCCCTGTGTTCAGATTTTAGGCACCTGCTGGCCCTGAATGCCTCACAGATACTGTGTGTCCCTGAAAACAAGTGTGAGGTCTGCAGGCTTGTCATCACGAAATGAAATACGTCTCTTGCGATCATTACACATAATCCACGCACTGTCTCTCAGAGCCATTTCTCATGCTCCCACTAGACTAGCTCATTTTTGTAAAGCCCTGTAATATCTGCAAACTAACCTCTGTCTTCTGAAAAACCTGTGGGCCAGTCCTACTTTATGTTTGTTACCCTAGCATCGTGTTGACAGTAAGCAATACCTGTGTATTTCCCATTCCGAACAAACTAGAAATGCAAGGAAGGAAAGCCATCAGCTTCCAGCTTGCTTCCAAGTGCTTGGATAATGACCTTGTTTTCTCAGGCTGAAAACCAAAGAGCTGACACGGAGTCAAATGCCTTAGCACCAAACCCCTCCAGGAGTGCTCACATCTTACATCTGTTGACATCATTCTGGCCATTTTACTGACAAGCAGCATCACGAACTCAAATGGAGGAGGTACATTTTAATGAAATTTCTCAAAAAATTAAAAATAAAAATCCATGTGGTCCAGTGTCAGATCACTGTCTAAAGAATGGCCCACGGTGAACAATGCCTTGGGGAACTGTGAGGGAGGCTCCAGGAGAAAGGCAGAGGACCTTTTACCTCAGGTGCATTTTGTTCCCTGGGTTGTTCTTGGATGTGATCTCGTGCCTCCCGTGGCACACATTTATGTTTAATTCATAAGACATGTTTGTTCTTTTTGGATGTCAGAAATAGCAATAGAACTCTATCTGGTCAATGTACCCGAGTCTGGACATGGCCTCCTGCCTGGCTTTTGCGCTTTTCCAGTATGTGCTGGGCATTGTGTTTAAATTGGTCTGTCCTAAGAAAGTTCTGGGGAAGGGCTGCTCTGTTAATATTTAGTATGCGCTTACTGATGTTTATTTACATGTTCTTCTGAACTCAACCTTCCTTTGTTTCATTCATGTATGGAAGTACACTGAAACCAAAGCAAGGTTGTCTACAGCATTTGACTTTAGTCCGTCCCATCCTTTTAGGCCCTCAGATCCCAGGACCAGCAGACAGGATCTGCTCGGGTGAGCTGAAGAGTCAATATCTAGCATCCTATTTCTGAGCATACGGACTCTGGAATTAAAACGCAGCATCTCAAATGGATATGTGCCTACCTGTGTTCATTGTAGCATGATTCAGAGTAACCAAGATATGCAACCAAGCCAAATATCCACCAGTAGATGTCCAGTACATATTGTAATGGAATGTTATCCAGACTTACCAAAAAAAAAAAAAAAAAAAAAAAAAAAAAAAAAAGAAAAAAAAAAGAAAAAAAAAAGATTCCTACTTTGTGAAACAAGATGGATGAGCCTAGGAGAACCTGTGTGAAATAATCCAGATACAGACAGACAAACACTGCATGTGGAAACACTTACATGAGGAAACTAAAAAACATAATTTACAGAAACAGAGTACAATAGTGTTTTCCAGGGTCAGGAAGATGCCCCCCAAATTATATAATTTCAAGTTGTAAATGAATAAATTTGAGAATTCTAATGTATAACATGGTAATATGTTATATGCTCATAGCTTGTTAAAATAGTAGATCATAAATGTTCTCATCATAAACAATTCTCAGATGAAAATGATATTAATTAGTTTGATTGTGGTAATAATTTTACTTATCTACATATATCAAATTGCCAACATTATATACTCTAAGTTTACACAAATTTCATTTGTCAATGGGACCTTAATAAAACTAAAGTGTTTTTTAAAATTTAATTTAAATATTCATACAATATATTTTGATCATGTTTTTTTCCTTTTCCAACTCCTCCCAGATCCTCCTCACCTCCATACCCAGACAACTCCATATGCTCCATATGCTTTTCCTCTTAAAAAATCAAAACAATACACACATGCGTGCACACACACACGCGCACACACGCACACACTACCACCACCACAACTACAAAATACTATGGAGTCCATTCTGTATTGGTCAACTACTCGTGAGCATGAGGTCTACCCTAAAGTGTAGCTGATAGACACATTGAAGAAAACGGATTTTCCCTCTCCCTTGAGGTATCAATTGCAAATAACTTCTTGGTTAGGAGTGGGACTTTGTGCCCATTTCCCATCTATGCTGTTATCTGACAATTTCATACATGTATCCCCACTTTTATCTCCCTCCCAGGTCTGCTGGCCCCACAGCCCCTGGTACCACTACTCATCCCTTTTCTAGGGTTATGACTTTTGACTTAGTTTTATGGCATATTTAGTTTACCCAGGGCCATCAGTGTAACCCTTGGATTAGAACTACCAACTGAAGCCCAGTGGGGTCCTCAGGCTGGAAATCTTTGAAAAATTAAAATGACAATAAGGTTGAAACCCAGGTCAGACAGTACAAATGTTAGTTTAGCTGTATTGTAGATGAAGTCTTACCCAGGATAGGTCTATACTAGTGATTCCTAAATTCTTCTTTAGAGCAAAGGGGAAGGAATTGTCTCTCTTGTATGAATAAATTTGCTTCAACTTCTAACAAGAATAAACAGTTTACTTTTCGGAACCGTTAGTCTACTACAGTGAATCTGTAAGAGGGGAAGTGTATATAACTCGAATGCAAGGTTATTTGATTTCT